CGAACCTGCTAGCGATGGCCTCCAACCTACTAGCGATGGCCTCCAACATACTAGCGATGGCCTCCAACCTACTAGCGAAGGCCTCGAACCTACTAGCCATGGCCTCCAACCTACTAGCAATGGCCTCCAACCTACTAGCAATGGCCTCCAACCTACTAGCAATGGCCTCCAGCCTACTAAGCGATGGCCTCCAACCTACTAGCGATGGCCTCCAACCTTTATTTCTGAAGTCACCAAAGTTGTGTGTTCGCTTTTCTTCTTCCGTGGCATTGTTTCTCTTGAGGATGATGGGCAAGTTCGTCTCTGGACTTTTAAGGTTAGAGATACAATGAAAAACCTCACAAAATCCTACTGTGCAACGTATGGCAGGGCTGTGAATCGCCAAGAGCGCCGAGATACGCAGTTTCAGCCCTAGCATGCTGAGGATGTGGAATTGCCCAATTCGGGAGCCGCCAGAGGCCAATTCAGAGCAACATTTTGGGCATTTCTGGTTTCAAGGGTGAGCGCCCACCTTGACATGCTACTAGTAGCAAGGACGCTACTAGGGGCTCCTGGCATCGCTACTAGGAGCAAGGACGCTACTAGGAGCAAAGGGCATCGCAACCAGGAGCAAGGACGCTATTAGGGGCTCCATGCCTTACTACTAGGAGCAAGGACGCTACTAGGAGCAAGTGCCACGCTAGTAGAATCAAGTGCCTTACTAGTAGTAACAAGAAGCTACTAGGGGCTCCTGTTACTCACATGTTGATCATTTGTGTTTTGCGTGTTCCGCTCCAGGCAACCTGGTGAAGTACGCCTTGGGCGGTGAGACCAAGCCCACCAAGCCTCATGTCAATGAATTTGGAGCTCCAACGGAACCACCACGCAAGAAAATCACATTTGGTGTTTTCCATGTCATTTTTGGGGAGTAAGATGGGTCATCTATGGTGATTGTTGCTGCATCTTCGTGAACCCACCCAAAGGCTGGAATGGGAATCGCTCGCCATGCTTCCGAAGTTGCGATGGTCAAGTGGCGCACTCGCCAGCGTTCAATGCAAACATAAGCATGAAAGACCCGCTAAGGGTCCTCGAACCATGGCTTCATTGGGATTTGGGAATGAAAGACGAATGGGAACATGATCAGGCCTGAAGTCGGGGCGAAGTTATCAACTGAGGATTGTCCACCAACATTCAAGCATTATGAAATACTTTTTGCAACAGGAGTATGCCTTCAAAAATTGCCAGAATCAGTGAAAAAAGCATGTTGGAAATGAGTGCTGAAATTGGTGGTTTGGGAGAATCAGCATTCTAGAGCCTGCTTTTGAACCTTCGCCCAGGAGTTTTTGACTTTCAAAGAAACAGACAGCAACCTCACAAAAGCGGAGTGTAATGAAATGGATAAAGGATGCACTCACTTTATTCTAGATTCTAGATACAGAGTAGACTGAGTAGACATTGATTGATAGGTTTGCAAGTGAAGTATTGCAAAAAATGATAGCAACATCAAAAACAAAAGTGAATGTGAGTTTCCTTTTTGCAAGCCTCGGATCATGGATGAATTGGAGAGCAATGCCCGTGCGTGGGCAGATGCGATCAGCGCCGAGTTGCATCGCAGTGATGCAGAGATCAGGAAGATGGATTCAGCGACAGATGGGTTTTCATCTGCTGTTAGCAGTGCTGTTAGCCCACAGAGAGAGATAGAGAGAGGCCATTGGGCCTCAGCCTGGGTGGAATGCTGCAGTGTTTCTTTTTGCAGAGCAAAGCATGTTTGGCCAGCGCGATGAAAAAGGGAAGGCTTCGCTGCAAAGCATTGAGAGGGAAGGTTCACTAGACATAGATTTTCCATGATTTTCCAGAGTTCTTGTTCACAACACTGATTTCCCACATCCACTAGACACTGATTTCAGGGTTTTGCCCCTGATGCAGAAAAGTTTTTCATAATTCAAGCACTCGAAGACCAAGAAACAGGAACGCAACAGCAGCAGTTCTCATTGAAGGCATTTTTCCGAGAAAAAGAGCTTTTTGTCCACTTTTGAGTCGGATGACAAGTCATCTCAAGTCATCAGTCATCTCTGGTTGCAGACCAGAAGCAGACGTCTTCGCTCCCATTTCAAAAGATGTATACCTGTCAGCTAAGGATATTTCGAGAGACGATGCGGGTCTAGCCTGCGTAGCACCGCCCGCGTTGACCGTCTTTGTGTTCTTCCTTGTCCGGAAGCGCTGTGGTTTGTGAGTCGTTAGCTGCCCTTTGGTCGAAGCATCGGGGACTCACATCAGCACAGGGTCTCCAGAACGGTCTGTAAGCATGAGGACGATGGTCTTCCAAGTTTAGCCTGATCAAGACGACTGCAGGTCATTGTGGGTGTCCCAGTACTCAAAGATTTTTGGAAGCGCTTGATGACCTTGATCATGGGGTTTGGACACTGATTGCTCACGAACCGCGGGCCCTAACGATTGAAGTCCAAAGTGAGACGAAGTGAACGGTGTCAGACATACATTAGGTGCAGAACGAGGTCCCATCAAACCGTGAAAGACAATGACTGAAGATCAGTTTTGCCAATAGTCAGTCTTGACGAACCCACCCAACCATGCTCCATCTTCTGGCACTTTACGCATCGATTGACATTGCTTGGTTGGACATATCTGATGTACGGAGGAGGTATGGTTGGCATGCAGACTCATCCCAAGTTAGTCAGCGTTGGCGCGTCCTCCTTGGACTTGCAGGACCACACACAAAGGTGTGGCTCGCATGAACTCGGAGGTGGAGCTTTGATGACTTTGGATGTTAACATACGCTGCATGAGCTGGCCAAGCCCCCGCAACGGATGGCTCTGGGGAATGCAGCCATCCAGTTTCACGGAAGATCAACTCGCTAGCTAGTGACTAGGGGGTGGGGTTGGCGCGCGTGCTTGAGTTAGAAAACTTGGCCGCAGCTCATATTCAGCCACCCTTGGCTGGCTCGCCGCTTCCAGCCTAGGCTTTTGGACCTCGGCTTCGTCAAACCATTGAGCTGAGGATGAGAGAAGATCTGAACGCCGAATGCATATCAATGTTCACTTGGTGTACTCGTTTGTCAATTTCATTATGCAACAAATGTTGGTTTTTGTCGATTCTTTTTGAAAACTCACGGTTGCTTCCTACTGAGTCCCACTGAAGAATAGGCATCTTCCATCCACCAGCAGGGAGCCGCAACTTTCCATCTGCCAATAGCCAGAGAGCCGGAGCAAGTGGCCGCAAGAGATGCTTTGTTCCAACACAATCGCAGCTGTATCACCCATCGATGCCACATTTCAAGGCAACCCAATAGTTTTGCCAGGCCTTGCGTGCTGGTGATAAAAGGTTTGGGAATCATTTTTTTTGGTGCATGGCAGCTCCTTGTTAGTTTAGGGGCAGGCAGTTTCTGGTGTCAGTTTTGCTCTACAATTCTTGCCAGTGGAAATGTTGAGATGCTTTTGACTCTGACATCCCCTCATGTTAAATTCCAAGTTGGACCAATGTAAGTAATACATAAGTTAAACATATATACATGGCCCGCTGGTACCTGCATGGTTCGAGGTGAGAATTTGTGATCTTGGAGCCCCCAAAGGAACAGATTGATGAGGCGATCAACAGTGGACGGGTCGTTCAAATTCAGTGCTGCACATTCTGTAGCATGTTTGCTTGCATTTTGCAGCTTGCCGCCAGATAGGACAAACACATAGTGCAAGGTACATAAGGACAACACATTTGGTGGAGACTAGGCAGCCAAGGAAAGTGACAAATAACAAATTGAATTGTTGGTTTTCTCTTGGGTATAGACCAGGAGCAAACCTCGTCGACTGGTCAGTGCTGCAATGCTCTAGTCAAGCTACACAAAAGACACTATACCATGTAATTTGTATGTCACCCATTTTACCCTGAAACGGTCCCAGCAATGAAACAACTTTGGTCGTGGTGTTGCGAAAAGCAACCATATTATGAGCAAGAGCAGCCACCTCTTCTCTCAATGATTCAGTTTACGTTTGTGGTAAATGGAGTTCATGGAGCATTGCAAACTTGACAATAGGCGCGAAGGGTCTGATATTCACGCGCCACATGCAACCTTCAGCTGGGCCACACAGATGTTTGGATCTGAGGTAAAGTCAGTTGAGACATGATACGGATGAACGGGATGACGACGCGTCTCCTCATTTTCCACCCTGATTGACATTGAGAGAACCTCAAGAACCACTCCGACATTGGATTTCACCTGCCAAGTCACCTGAAAACACTGGAACCAAATCTCATGAAAAGAAAGGATAGGCACTGATTGTTTGGGTTATGCAATGCAATATTTTTTCGAAAGCAGTTTATATAGTATGATATAAAGATGATTGGAACATCATCATTTTTGGTCCAAAATGCACAGATCTGTTGAGACACGTGTCTTCGAAGACACGTTCTCACCCTTCCCCTCGTCCGGTGTTCCGAGGCTCCGTTCGGTGTTGGGGGTTTTCCTCTTCTGCGTCGGATCATTCTGCTACGCCCTGCTGGGCATCCTTTCGCAGCTCTCCAAGTCGCCGGATGGCCGGGAGCTCGTCGGTGTCCAAAAGCGTTGCACTGATGCATTTGAGAGGCCCTGGCATTGCTACTAGGAGCAAAGAAATGCAAAGAACGTTTGAGTCTAGATCATTGGAACGATTGGAATGAATGGAATTAATGGAAGACTTCCACCAGCAGCTCGCCGTCATAAGCACCAAAAGCACCAAAAGCTGGACCGACCGAGTCCATCGTTTGATCACAGGATGCTCAATTTCCAAGTCATCCCAGACAGACTGTAGAGTTGTATGATTTTGCAAGTGGAGGAAGCGCTCACAAGAGAACTGAGATACTTTGCGAATGCATTTGCATACGGAACCAACAGCCATTTGCAGTCATGGGTCAAGCAGCATGAAGCTGATTTGAGCGAGTGGTGTTGCGATCAGGGTCCTACGCGTATTCTCTCCCAAGTGTGGTGCTGCTGGCTGAGATCACAAAACTTGTCATCAGCGGTCGTCTCAGAGAGATCGAATCGCTTGACTTTGGGAACTGTAAATGCAAGAATGATGTCCTGGAAACACGAACCCTCTGATTTTGCTTGACTATTTGCCCAACCCTTGGTGGTCCAGACGAAGCTTGATAAGTTTCCTCGGCAGCCAACCACAATCTAGACATCCGCGCAAGGTTTCTGCTTGCTCACAGCCCGGATGGGCGGTGTCTACCAGGTGTGTTTGTGAAGCAAGTGAGAAGGAGTCCTGCATGTGTTGCAGACTAGTTTCGCAGAGCGTTGCAAATAGTCATGCTGTAAGTCACTGCAAGTGAGGAGTTGCCCAGAGGGCAGAAAGTATGCCAATTGAGTATGCCCATTCCCCTGTTGGTGTTGGCAGATTTGGACTAGACAGCAGGCTTCAGCACTGATTGAGACGTGGATATTTTGCAAACACAACAATTGTTGTTGTTGTTTTTTAATATTGTATTTTTATAATTAAGTAAGGAGCAAAGCTGCAGGAGAGCTCACACACTATTTATTTGGTTCCTAATTTTTAAGGGACACCTGCTCATTTTTGCATGTACCTTGTGTACACATCAACCTAACAAAAGTTCGTTTGCGTTTTGCAGGCCCTACAGGATGTTCTCCGAACCTCTCCAAAGTCATGGCTTCTTGGCTTCCAGACCTAGCGAGATAGACGGCGCCTCTTCAGCGCCTGCCGTCCATGCTTGAAAGTTCGTTTGCTACAACCGGAAGAGGCAGATGCATGACGGCAGGAGGTTCCCTGCTACGCTTTTATTCTTTGCCATGCTCTTTTACTTGTTCACTGGAACTTCAGACCTTCCTTCCTTCCTTCCTTCCTTCCTTTCTTCTGTTTTTTACGATGTTTTTGAGTACCTTTGTTTACCATAGGCATCAAAGGCACAGTTGTACCATCAAGCCGGTTACTGCCAGGTTGGCCTTCGCCTTCCCTTCAGCTCTCTATTCGTGGGGTGTCCTGAACGCGGTGTAACACTATTTAGTTTGGTCGAACACGCAGAGAATTCGTAAAACATAAATCATCCAAAACATCTCTCCAAGTTTTTCCAAAACCGCAGAGAATTCGTGCAGATCTTCGAGTTTGCAGCCTTCAAAGTAGAATTGGTCTGCTTTCTTCTTGTCCAGACCGTAGCTGCAAGTCTAGAAGTGCTTTCTTGAACCCCAAAGCAGATGTAGGCATTTGGCTAGAAGGCACTAGAAGCAGAGCTTTTTTCTGCTTCCTCTCGCAATGGATTGATCTATGTTGATGTTGTGGGTATTTTTGCTCCGTCGTTCTTGAGAATAGCTCCATCCATGGAGTCGGAGCAGAGGTTGAACAACAATTTAGATATGCTGAACAACCAGCACATGGACCCTGCGACTGAGCAGGTTTTGGTTCAGGCGGGACTCGACCTTGGAAGGGAGGAATTCTCTGAGGTGAACAGGAAATTCAATTCAAACAGTCTATCCAGAATCAACCTCCAAGCGTACATGCCAGCAAACCCGGCTAGGCTTGGTCAGAGGCCTTTCACTCTTCATGAGTCTCAGAGACTTCAGCTTGATGTTTGCTTGATCAATTCCCAAAGCTCTGCCTCAGATTGAGATTCCTGCAGGCAAAGATTCTGACCACTGGGCTTGTGTGGTGGTGGCCAGCCTAAAATTGGACGTGGGATCTTGTTTCGCAGGAAAGCTTGGAAACACGGTGAAACGCGTCCAAATGCTAAACACCGGCAGACACTTTGTGAAGGGTGCCCGGAACTGGTGGCATGGGGTAGGGTTTTGGGGGGTCAGAACAGTAATATTCAATCTGATCTGACATCCCATGCTATGTATGTCCGGGGTCACATGAAATACCAAGACACACACACACATGTGCACAAAATATGATGCGCTAGGTCTGAATGATGCTTGCCCTGAAGCTGCCAAAGTAGTCCAAACAGCGTGGTCCAAGCCTCTTGAAAAGCTCAACAGTTTCGAGGTTTCAAGACTCAATCCCACGACGAGGAACGTCGAACGACGAGTGCAAGTCCCAAGCGCAGTAGCACTTTACTGCAAACCTCAACAAAGAAGCGGTCCTGTTCTCATGAGAAGCAGGGACCAAGTAGGAAGTTCTCCCATCACAAGGCAGGTTTCCAGACGGCAGCAGGACGGAAACGTAGCTTACCTGGGAATATTGCTGATGGAGCTTCGTACATGAGCTGGTACGGCTATCCCGCTGCTGGCTCAAGGAACGTCCTTAACCAATCCCGTTCCTCTTCATCACCTCCACATACAGGGCGCACCTTGTCATGTCGTGTGCGTAATCCTTGGAGTCATAGGGGGCCTTCTGGCTTTTGTTTCTAAAGATATCAGGGGGTTCACCCAGGGACTTGACTTGTGATCCAACGAAAAGGGTCAAGCCTCAGGCCACACTTGCGCGCAGAACAACATGGACCGGCTGGCTAGCAAGGAAGATCGGCACCAAAAAAGCAAGATGATTTGAAGAATTTGACTTTAGCTGACAACCGAGGAAGCGCAGACAAACCTACACAAAACGGACATGCATTCTCCCCACCAAAACAATTAACCCACAGGTTTGTTGAAACACATGCTTTCTTGTTGATTTCTTTCAAGGTCAGCAGAACTCAGGTTGGTTTTGGTGTCAACCTCGTGGCTGCTGAGCGCAAGAGCGGCCAGGTTATCTGGGGAAATTTGCTGTGTGGCGGTGTGCCATGCAAAGCGTAACAGACATGTGCGCGTGGACTGCCGTTCAGCCTCCACGGGGCCTGGCTTTGCGGGACAATTGCGTTGTCATCTCGCGGCGGGCCTTCGCGAACACGGAATGACATCGCACCAATGTTTGAGAATCTACCCATGGTGGGGTCGCACTTTTTCAAAGGATATGTTTTGGGGGCTCGGGTGCCCACTGCGATCTAGCACTCGCGGTTGAAGCCCTGCAGTGCCCACTGCGATCTAGTACTGGCGCTTGAGCACCTGGCAGGTGGGGAACAAAAGGCAAAAGGCCCCCAATGACTCCAAGGGTCACACACACACGTAGGAGCAATGTTCGCTACTAGGAACAAAGGGCATCGCTACTAGGAGCAAAGAAGCTGCTAGGGGCTCCTGGCCTTACTACTAGGAGCAAGAAGCTATTAGAAACAACAAGTAAATATAATTTAATTAGAATTTATATACATGTAACTAGACATATATAAGTCACATGACTCCAAGGGTCACACACACACACCCAGTCTAGGATTCATTTCCTTTTTGTGGTGCGCCGGTTTCTTCAGCTTGTGCTTCCTGTGCTCTATGCTTTGCACAGAATTCAACAAAGGCTGAACCCAGCCCGTTTACGATGGACGTCGCCGCCACCCTTTTCCTAGACAAGACCGCTTTTCAACCTTTATCACTGGGGGAGGGGGCGTGAGGTAACCCGTGAGGTGAGTTTCCACAAGCCACTTGAACAAGTAGGGGGCAAGACATGTAACTTGAGTAGCTGCTAGGTTTGGAAGCAATCTCTTCTCGGGTTTATTGAAGGAAGGCTTCGCCTGATGGATTCGGTTCCTAGGGTAGGGAAACTTAGCCGAATAAGTCCGACTTAGCCTTTGGAATCCTGAATTTGTTGTCCTTCTTTCCTTCCCTTTTTGTATGCAAGAGCGCTTTTGCTTTTGAGGGCCGCTGTCGTCAATACTCCATACCCCCCAATACTACTGTGCGCATGGAGATGGGCTCACTGCTTCTAGGTGGGTCTTTGGCCGGGAGATGGGCTTCCGCAAGTGGTGTGGCCTTCTTCTTCTCTTCCTTGGTGCGCTACACGAACAAATAGGACATGTTCCAAGATCGTTCCTACTTCAAAGCAGCTGCAACTTCATGATTCTTCAAACCATTTAGTTCTGAGATGAGAAAACGCTTTCCTGCTTGAGCTCTTCAATCTCTGCAGACATCATAATTACCCTGGATGACTGCTGAAGTTGTCTGGAACATTTGACTTTGCCGCGTGTGAAACTTCGCCTCCGCACCGAGTCTCACAGGCGCAGTTTCCGCCGGCTGGCCTTCAGATTCAACACTGGGAAAGAGGCGCGTGAAGGTGGATTGGTTCGATGCAGTGCATTGCAGGGGAGCAGGAAGAGATCTCCAAAGGGTTAGACGAAACAACCCTCCAAGAGAATATGGTCTTTGGAAATGAAGGATGCGCGTTCATGGCGCCAACTGTAATGCTCAAAGTGCTCAGCCTTTTGGTCCGTTTTACTTTTTCCTTTCGCTTCCTCACACAGTTCTGGGCACTGGGCAATGTGTTCTAGAGAGCAGCCAGAAGTCACAGGGGGAGTGGGGGCATATTTTCGTTTGCGCATGAGCCACTGGGAATTCAGGATTCCTTTCGGTTGCCCAACTGCTTCACCTGCCTAGGTTTGCAAGCCGGTGTTACGCAGTGGGCCTGTAAAACATCGTTTCAGAATCGCAAGGTGTTTGTTTGAAACGGGTAATGAAATTTTGCGCAAGCTGCAGCCAGCTGCAATCCAAGTCCAACCTTCAGAGAATTCCGTAAGCCCTGTAAGCCGTTGTAAATGTTTGTTTTGATAACAAACGTGTCGCGCTTGGAAAGATCACCCTTCAAGTTGCTAGGATGCATATCGATTCCTTTGGTGTTGTCCTCGTGATCCTCTACGTTTGGGTGAGGGACCCAGCCTACATGCCCAAAAACAGTCAGTGAGTCTTGCATCAAGATGTGCAGTGCAAGTGCGCGAACAACATCTGGCACTTGATCTTTCATCGCACGGCGCAGTAGGACCTGGGGCTCTTGAAGTTGTTAGTGTATGTTGGCTAGCTAGAGAAAGACATGTTATCTCGGCAAGAGACCACAAACAGTGTATCTAAAGGTCTAGGCCTAGAGGTGTAGAAGCAGAAGGTCTAGGGATCTAGACGCATTGGGCTGCAGAGAGAGGTGATAGTGGCGATGATGGTGGTGATGAAGGTGGTGGCGGTGGTGGTGACGCTGGTGGAGATGGTGGTGGTGATGGTGGTGAATGAATGCACTGTAAATAGCAATGAATTAGCCGGACACACAGATGAGCACCTCGATCAGGCACCCGTCCACCCGTCCTTAACAACTGTTACCGGTTAGAAAAAAGAGAGAGAAAAGCACGTACTAGCGATTGCCTCCAACCTAGAAGACTTGGCTAGCAGTTTGGTGCAGCAAGCTTATTGGAGTTGTACATGTTTGCTTTTGGTAGCAGTTGATCCAGTGGGTGCCCGTTCGGATACCAGATGGCCTTGCACCGACTGAGGTAAGTGCCTCTGCAGGGGTGTACAATGAGTGGCTCTACAAGGGAATTGGCAAAGATGACAACATCCACACGTGCCATCGTCAGTGCGGTGGCGGTCATGCATTTTGTACTGCGTAGAGTGCTAGAGATGTTCACCCTGAAAACCGTTGATCATGACTTTGGAGAACACCTCCTTTGCAAATTCCGGGCATCGCATTTCGGGCTTGGAACGGCCCGCCCTTGGCGTCTGACCGTGCGAAGCAACGAAGGTGCAACATTCGCATTTATGTCATCGGGTCGGCAGTGAACCTCGCTGCCCACCTGTCCCACAAACCCGTGATGAGCACCTTGGCCATGTTGGGGCAATTGATGGTTTTTTGTTTTCTGAACTCACCACAGTTGGTTTTCCTTGAATCCAAGATTGATTGGCACGAGGTATATAGTTCTATGTATAATCATATATATTTATATGTTTGACTATGTTGCTTGTGCAGACCTGCCTCCACAGCTGCCTGGCTCTGGTTCCAAGGCAGCCTGTTCTCCTTGTCAGGGCGCCTGATGCCACCAGAGAGACTGAACAGCCGTGTTTGGGGAATTTCTATGACCAGTGGGATCCTTCAACCTGCACCTAGACCCATCGCGATTGATGTGAGAAGTCGAAGTGGTGCAGCATGGGCTGTCCAACACACCCTTTGACGCATTCTTTTTATCGACTTCTGTCGACTGGAAACTCTAGCAACAACATGTGAAAATTGTAGCAGCACCGGGGGGGTGCTAGCCTTCAAAGGCTCATATGCAGACATAGGGTGACTCCAGCTTCAATGCTTGTGAGGTTGGAAAGCTTGTGCATTAGCATTTTGCAAGAGGATGGCTATGATCCACAGAATTCGAAAGACTTGATTTCAAAGCGGGGCGTGGTTTTCCAAGATCGATATTTTGGTTGGACGATGCCGTGGACGATGCAGGTTGAACTCAGTAGCACCTGAGAAGCACAAGGGACTCACTTTGCTAAGGACAGAAGGCTACAACCAATACTGTTGGGCTTCAAGCCTCAGCTCCAATTTGATTGAGATCCACTGATTTGCACATTTGCTGGATTGGCAAGCTTCATTCTGAAGGGACGGCTGTCCCAAGTTGAGGGCTAGCCAGTTCTGTAAGGACAAAGAGTCAAGTCAAAAGGATAAACATGAATGGAGTTTATGTCAAAAGCTGCTACATGATAATGTGAAGAGATAGGCCGCTGCAGCTTCAGCTGCCTTTTAGTTTATACCGTGTGACCACAACATTTTGCAGTTCCTGAGGCTCTGGTGGTAACATATTCCTTGATGGGCCTGCTCCTTGCACAGGTGCTCGAAAAGAGATGGGTGACCAGGAAAAGGCCGTAGGAATCTTGCTTGGGGTCGCTCTTTTTGGTCCCAAGGCACAGCTTTTGAGACGCTTCTTTTGATAGCCCGATAGCCCTTGCCACAGCCGTTGAATTGATGCTTGCCAACGGAAGAACCGCCGGGAAGAACCTGGTCCAAGAGACTAGACTCGACTCACCGGGTCCAATTGACTCCAGCTTCTTGAAGCCAACAGCGGCACGTTGTTCAGCAACAAGAAATCCAAGGCAACGTGCCGCAGTTGTGCTTAGGCCAAGAAACGACCAAGGCACAATATCCCATTCAAAAGGATGAACAACGCATCAACCAACACAACTTCTGCCGGACGATACCGAATCGTCGGGAATCGTCAGGTGATGAAGTTCTTCGACAGCATCGTGAAGCTCTTCATCTCAGGGTCAGAACTTCAACTGTGAGAAGCACTCCTTTCTTCTGTGTTCAGTGTTTTCAGTGTTTTCCCCCTACATGGCCTGCCAGGACTGGCTTTCATGGTTTTATTCTTTGTATATCTTTGTATCCTTACTTGTTCTATAGTATGTCTGAGTTCTTTTTGGTTGCTGAAGTGATCTCCATTCTGGGATACGTGAAGTCTGAATAGGAACAATCCATCCTGATGCCTGAGGTCCTCCATGTACGTGTCCGCAGTGCTCAGTGGGATGATCTTTGGCTATACGCCTACCTGGTGTGGGGGCGTTGCGGCGTTGCGGCGTTGCTTGCCATCTGGGCTTCAATGATACAAAGTGTTAGCCATTACATCATCCCATGGTAGATTTGAAATGTTTTGAGAAGAGATCAGAGCTTCGGACTCGAACATTGGTGAAGGAATGAGATTATTGTGTTGAGATTATTGAGCTCAAAAACTGAGGAAACGGTCAAACTGCGCTAAACCGGTGAGCCATCCAAAACCCATCGACTCGCGACCGGTGAGCCATCGACTCCGACTCGCCAGGAACTTCTTGGCGGGCATGGCCCTGGTCACCTTCGCGATGGCCGGGCATCAAACCGCCGCGACGCATCGCGTGCTTTCCGCGTGCGGTGGTGTTTTGCGTAAAGGCCCATGACCGACAAGAGAGGTACAGTATCTTAGCTTCTTGGCCATTTTTGTTCGATTTTGGTGCTGTGGAGCATGGATTGAGTGCAACCTGCTCGTGTTCCAACCTGCTTTCTCGTATTTGTGTTGCTGGGGAATGAGCACATGCATCGTTTCGCCGGTTGGAGTGTTTCTTTCTTATCTGAAAGTAGCCATATTGTCATAGTGTTCTGCCAGGTCCTGTACAACCTTGAGCACATCAAGCTGTTCTTGACAAAGCCGAAAGAACAGTGACAAAGGCAAGAAAGGGTCCGAGTCGAGTCGTTTTTCGGCGTCATGAACCTCTCAGGTTACTCTATCGCACTGCCCATGTTCATCCCCAGCAATTTCGAAAAGTCATGTTCTGCCGTTCATCGCCCAGTTCATCGCCCAGTTCGAGCCGGTCGCTTCAGGTTTGCTCCGGGATTGATCCGTGCGATTTGCTTCCGAAAAGAGCCGAGCCGCTTGTCGATGACATGGGCAGATGGACGGTCGACCGTCCCTCTTGGACGGTTGGATTCAAATCTGAGTTTTTTAAAACCAGGGATCGGCTGAACCGCTGAGAGTTGGGGGTCTTGAACTGCACTTGGGTTAAGAATTTCAGAGTAGGCAGCCTTGGTTGTCCGTTCTTTCTGGCACAATGTGTGTCTATGTTTGGCAAAGGACTGCCAAAGAATACTTAAGCACGGAAAGGAAGTGTGGCCAGTGACAGACACGCTTTGCGCATTCCTGGAAGCAGCTTCTGTGAAGAATGCTGTTGAACACAGCAGCAGGAACACGCATGTCGGAGAAAACAAACGTTGGCGGTTGCACACTCTCAGCTTATTGCACCACCTCTTGTCAGTGCTGCGATATTGCACGCTTGTGCTAGGTTCCGTAGCTCTGTTCTGCCACGACCAGGAAAACATCTCAACTATTGCAGACACGTTCTGCTTGTGCTTGCCCCACTGCTCTTGAACAATACTACGCCGATCTACGCCAAACTCTTTGCTTATTGCTCAAGTCCTCTTGCAAAAGGAAGTTGAGACAAAAGCTGTTGTG